TGGCCGCCATAATGAGATGCAGTCGACGGAGGAACTTTTCCTCCCCTGCTTAAGGGACGAAAGTTTCTCCCTTTCTGAAGGAACATATGTGTCAAGAGCGTTCCTCCCTTTAGGGAGGACTATACTGACCCTTTTTTCTAAGAGTGTAACACGGACGGCTAACCTCGCCGACACTAAGACGGCTGGGAGAAATTCCGGTTTCGGTAAAGCACTACGCCACGAACACGCACTTTCTCATTTCAGTTTTGAGTTGAAGAGATCTCAGGAAGAACTTGGAAAATCATTCCTTGGTTCTTTTAAAAAAATTACATTATGGTCTATTAGTGGATTTTTTTGCGAATGCGTTAAAGTGACATTTCGAAACGCCCCACACGTCTCCCTTTGGAAAAGGTTAACGCAGACGCCTTCACATTTTTTCTGGCTATATCACTTGGCTTTTTTTCCTCTATTTGTTGCTGCCGCTTTTCGGCCTCGTTCCGGGGCCAGAGTTAGCGTCCTCCAAAGGGGAACGTGTGTGGCGTTTCCGAAGTGTCGCGCTACCGCTTTCTTTAAGAATCCGCCAATAGGGGTCTTCACGTAATCTATATCACCCTTTTTCTGTACTCTGCCTGTCAGAGTGCGACGACGTCCATGATTGCGGTCATTTTTATCACTCGTAGAAAGAATCACATTCATACCACTCGTGGAAGGAACGGCGTTCATATGGCTCGTAAAGGGAACCGCCTCCATCGTTTTAACCACACACACACACACACACACACACACACACATCACAGCTCACGCTCCGCTACTATGGAAACCCAGAGCGAAGAACAACCGGTGACGGCAGAGCGGCAACTGAGCACGCCCGCATTCCACCGCGCCGCAACGCAACACCTCCGAGATAACAAAAAAGGAATGCCGAATATGATGGCGCCATCAAAGAAGATCAACGCTGGGCGCAGATTGGACGCGACAACTGCGGCAACGTCCAGCTCGAACTTGAATCGAAGCTGAGTGTTGACGCAGCAATCGTTTCCAATCCGTGTCCAACGTTGGCCTTCTTTGATGACGTCATCTTATTCAGCACTACGGCTTTGTTATCCAGGAGGTGTTGCGTGATGTCTCCTCCTCTCTGGCTCCGCGCCAGTTGTTCGCGCGACTTTGACGAAAAAGAAACATTGGGGTTGTGGGGATATTTATACAGCGTGTAGTTGGTCAGCCATTAAGGTTGCGACGAGTCACAGACTGTAGATGAGCAATTTAGCCAGTGCAACCGCTAGCCTGGGGTCTTTAACGTGCACCACGCAGTAGTGATTCACGACCGCACGCCGGTACGATGCTCATCCAGATCGAAACGGGCAGGCACGGTGGGTCTCGAACCCAGGATCCTTGGGTTCTGCAGCGCGAGCTTTCGCTCTACGCGCGGCGAGCTGGGTGTGCGCTTTAGCCCACTCAGCGAACGAAAGATACCGCCGGGTCTTTGTCAAAACGAGTGTTCTAATGCTGACACATTTAATATGTTTAGATTGCAGGCGAGCTAGTTGTAGTGTCATAAAAGGGTAGATACTAGTGTTGGTGAAGGAAGTTGAAGTATGGTCGCTATTAGCGCCGAGATGTTTCGGTGGAGCCCTCGTATGGTTACCTTTCGTGACGTCATTACATTGCGAACAACAAGTTCGATGGTGTTTGTAATTAGCATGTCGGAGCTTGAAATCATAGCGTTCTTGAACTAACACTGTCAACACCGTCAAGATTGAAGCCCGCACGTTCCCCTTATTTCCATTCATGAGAACTCCTTTGCTGACGTCATAGTCAGCATTTGGCCAACCATGGAAGGCCGACCACCGCGACGCTTTCGATGGCGCACGTCGCCAATAAGGGGAGATGTATCGAAGAGAAAATTGATAGTATGCACTTGTTCATGACGCCGGTGGCACCGGTAGCCTGCCCCTTGTGCCATTGGGTGGCGCACAATCGCACCACGCGTAGAACTGCATCCTGCACGAGCGCGCGTAGTACGAGAGGCTCTCGTGTCCCGCGCGCTCGCGCACAACACTTGAGACGCTTCACGCCACGCCCCTTTGAGCAGAACTGCACCGGTATCTAAAATCGCTTTTTGACGCAGCGGGGGGAGTGACCACAGGGACTCCGCAAAGTTTCCTTCTCCCTGCGCGCGCTCAACTTCGCAACTTTTGACGAAAAATCCCCCGCGATCCCTTAAAGGGATACTGACCCAAACAATTTAGTGCCCATAATAAGCGGCGCACGTTCTTTCCACGAGCCAGCAGCCGCCGGTGTGCGCGAGCACACTCAACAAAAAATGACGTCACAGGCCTCCATTCGCGGTTGAGATGACAGTGAAATGCATGGGCTTCGGACTAAAGGAGGATAAAGACAGGCTTTTCATCTCTACAAGTGAAAGCTACGTGATTGTTAGACCAATTCATCGCTTACCTTTTACACCAGGCACCACTGTGTAGATGAGAAACTTGTCTTTATTCTCCTTTGTTCCGAAGCCCATACATTTCACTGTCATCTCAACTGCGAACGGAGGACTGTGACGTCATTTTTGTTGCGTGTGCTCGCGCACACCGGCGGCTGCTGGCTCGTGGAAAGAACGTGCGCCACTTATTATGGACACTAAATTTCTTGGTTCAGTATCCCTTTAATGGTTTAAAAGTAGCGCAAGGTGCGTTAATGCACGGGGCACATGCAACGTGCAGCCCTCGGGACGATCATGACGGCGCAGCGCAGCACTGAGCTAGATTGCGGACGCCATGTTCTTCCCAGAAGTGGCGCGCTTCACATTTCTCGAGTACTTTTTCAAGAATGAACGGCGCCATTTTTTCCAGGATAGAGGTGTTTTACCGGTATCCTGGCTACAGCGCCACTTTTTCGTCATAAAGCGGCGGCACGTGGTACTACCCAAGAATGAGGAACACTCGGTACACCTAAAGCCCCTTCATGTTTTAAAAGTAGCGCAAGGTGTGTGGATGCACGAGGCACGTGCAGCGTGCAACTCTTGGGAAGATCGTGGCGGCGCAGCGCAGCACTGAGCTAGATTTCGGACGCCATGTTCTTCCCAGAAGTGGCGCGCGGCACGTGTCTCCAGCATTTCCACAACAATGAATGGCGCCGCTTTTCTCAGGATAAGAGGGGCTTTAATAATACCTACCCCTATAGCAGACTTGTGCCTATCTCAAATACTCTGCTGAAGATACTGTATTTCAAATACTTTTTGAAGTCTCTTGGTATCTTGCAAATTATTTTGATCGGCAGTATTCGATAATATATTTTAATTGAATTTTTGAGTATCTTGTACACATTATCTCAAATTCAGTTTTGAGATACCACCATTTTTAGAGTTTTTTGGTATAAAGTGGCGTGGGCGTGGCACCAGCAAACGTGAACATTCGTTCGAGAAACCAAATCCTGTTCCTAACTCGAAGAAGCTACGATGACTTAGATTCAGCTTGTGAAAACATCGCTTTTGTGCCGAATGGAACTCATATTTCATCCGAAAGTTCGTACAATGAAGGTTTTCGCCTCTCCTTCCCAAAGACGTTCTTTGTTTCCTAGAGGTTCACCCCCGAAAATTTTTTTAAACAAAAGGGGTGGTTTGACGGAAGTGATGATTGCCACACTGAGGCGCAACGCAGAACGGGAACGGGAAAAGACCCACGATAACAATGCAAACTTCAGTGTCAAGAAAATAACAAATAAACGTAAATGCAAAAAAATCACAAGAAAAAACAACACTTTTTTTGTATATCGCCGTCAGTCCGGCACTTATTGCTCTCGCGGACACTGTCTGTAAGCGAACATTGATAAGCAGAGAACAGCACAGGAAACCAACTACGTGCCGAATGGCCTCCTAAAATGTCAACAAAGCGTCACCCAACGTTTAGTGCCTTCTGAACGCAACCCACTTGAAGGAGGTGCGACCAGTGCCGTGGCTATTATGTGGGCTCTCTTTGTCATCCGTTCACTTATTTCCGTATCCGAAGTTCGTTTGTAGTGAACTCCCCATGTAAAGAATTTGGATTGTAGTTAAACGATGCGTCTAAGCTGCGCCAGAGGACTTGATATTCAGCGATGTCACAATTGAAAACTTTCAGCGATTCTGGCACCGCGGTGTCAAAATCGCACGCCTTAGTTTATGGATGCTCGACTTCACAAAAAAAGTGATTGCCTACAACTTCCGGGAGGGAAAAAATGAAGTAAGGCTCTAATACTGCTCGTATAAAGCAAAACTAAAATTAATTATGCGTTGGAGAGCGCGCCACCTACTACTGTTCTACGACCATCATATATATAACAGCCATTTTGGTAGGCACCAGCCTAACAAAATGTGAAAGAAGTTGCGAATAGATAAAGTGACCTCTCTTTGTTTGTGCCAGAATGTTGTGTAACACGTATCAGTTATATCCTGCTCCTTATAGTTGGACTGCATGAAACAGCCCTACGGTGTTTTTTTCCGTTTTGTGTTGTTGCGTGCTAATAAACCATTCTGGTAAATCAGTTTTGCGAAACTATAATTGTGCTTGTCACTGACGTCGATACAAATTACGCAATGCAGAAGTATCTTCAAAGGCAATTGAATTACATTTCTAATTATTCGTACCCTACTCAAGAAACTTTACAGTGAAAGTAACTTGAGTAGTATTTTGAATTCTTTATGGAGCAGGTATTTAGTAACTTAACTTAAATACTTTCATCGGGTATATTGTCCAACACCGCCCTATAGCCACCATAGCTGAAGGTAGGGCTGGCGGCCATTCCCATTTTATACACTTTTCCCCCCTTTTGCCTTCTTCAACATATATATCATTCTAGCACGCGCTGAATAAAACATCACTCTACTCCAGTAGTGTGCATAGAACACAATGGTAAACCCCTATACTGGGGTGGAAAACACTCAAAGTAGCGAGAGAACAGAAACGAAATGGGAGAGCCTGCCTGTAAAGGCGAGAGTCAGCGCCACACAGGGTACTTTAGGGATCCGATAGAGGACTTACAAGAAAGCCATCTCGCGACTCAACGCGTGGACTCCGAAAAAAGATTTTCCGTCGTCATAGAACATTCCCACGCTTTCATTTCCACAGAGACCTCCTATCTTCGCCGTATCTGGAAGCACACAAAAGGGACACAGTCATTTGAGAAAGCGAAGATGTTTGGTTGCCCACTAGGAGGTCAAGGCGATCACAATTTAATTTTGTATTTCCACATACAAACAGTACCCTGAATCAAGACCTGCGAACACGACTTTCTCTTGATCCATGGAACATTCATCAGGGTCGGATGGCGCACTCTCCGCAATTGAACCAGAGATCAACGTCGAGAGTCCTTCGACGCGTTAACTAGACACGAGGCTCGACCGAACGCTCAGGCATTCGTGTCCAATCTGCGTCTTTACTCAACTTCACTGGGATGACCTCAAAAGTCAAGTGCACAGGCTTTGATTATTATAGAAGGGCTTGCACAAACATATTTCCAAAGTTAAGTCTGGCCACTTTGAGCGCCGGCGTCATCGGAGGAATGGCTTCTGTGCCGTACTAATGGCGGCCTCCTGGTTACTGGTGGGCGAAGAAGTTAAAGACGCTCATATGTGCACGATGCGATGGCTATACATTTGAGACGGTAGAACGGTACGATGCACCAATCAAATACAAAAGGTGCTTTAGCGTTCACTTCTAACTCGGGTCCAGTCAATTCGTTGACGTCCCACAATCGCCTCTAAAGCACCTTGATGTATAATTTTTTTATCAAGGCGTTCATGTTGCTGGCCGCTCCTGTCCTGACCAGATGTATATCTGTCACAATCGAAACTGAAAGAGATTGGGAACTACCTGCACAGTGAAGAGCGCATTCTGGTCCACCCTTGACTTGCGAAAATGGCGGCGCCGTATAAAGCACTGCAGACTGCAGGTTCATTTCCGCCATTAGTACGGCACAAGTGAGTCTGCTACTTCAGCCACCAAATGGAACTGAATTTTTTAAAGGGTCTATTGTTATGTAAATAAAGGAATATCGAACAAGGTGGTGTAATTATAATGGTTCGTGTAAGTTTGCAAGGCTACATGCAAATTTTGCTTTTACATTTCAAGTCGCACAAATCTTGAATGAGCGGATTGATTTTCTGCAATTTTGTTTCACCCAATCGCGGCCCCGTCACTGCTACTTCTAATGGTTACTGGCCAACCTAAGCAATAATTAGGACCAATAGCCAACCGTCAATTCGCATTTGATAAGACGAGCTTATCTGCAGACATAGTCCTTTTTCACACGTTTTGTCGTGGCTTACAGCAGCGTAGTTACAGGGAAAAGTATTTTGTAACGTAGAGATATGGTTTCTGTTCCGGTGTGTTTTACTTTTCAGACAAGATACAGCGCAATGAGGAATTTGTGCTTATCCACATGTTTTGATTACTTTGCAACTCGACAAGCATCCACGTGCAAGGAAGGGGAGTTTTCACCGTCCACTCCGATTTGTGTACCTTGAAATGGTGTATAATCCACCTCACAAGTAGTGAGTACAGTCACTGGATCCTGGGAATTTAGCGCCATTGCCTTCCCTGCAGGATAGACGAGCACGAACAAATACTAACGTACAGACGATCAAAAATTCGCAAGGCGATTGGCTGATTGTTTTTCGTTATCATTACAATCGCCTTGCCCATTCGAATCTGGCAAACTTCGAAAGAGTCGTCCTGAACCAACCGCGCCTTGATCAATACGGGGCGTTATTGTACTGACAGCGTTCCTCGTCGATATAACCGTCTTTGGCACTTTGTAGGCGATCAACCTACCAATAATTCTAAAGAATCTCCACAGATATCTCACATTATATTGTTCTTCTGTATTTCAAGATGTGAAAACTATATTTCAATGCCGCCAAGCACCGACACCACAGATTGTGACAGTGATAAGTCCGTTTGCTTCGCCAGTGTGTGGATAACATGGTCTCAGTACACAAGAGAGTGTTTTTAAAAAGCAACCTGTTACCGCGAGTTTCTATGGGTTGACCACGAATGAAGAGATCGAGAAAAACTGCCCGTTTTATTGGCACAAAATGGCGACTACAAGGGGAGCTTGGAGCTACCTTCCCAGGATCCTGTGATTTTAGCGCCACCAATGTCGTGGGAACGAGAACAAGCTTCTGCACAACGCGGGGTTCGCGCGAGCTCTCGTACTAAGCGATAACCAATTTAAAGCTTGTTCTCGGACCTGAGCCTCCCACACAACTGCACATAACTCATAAGATCAAGTATAACATTAGCCTATTCAGTGCCATCTCTGGCTACAATTGCTACCGAGCTTAATGACCGAACATCAAGTATGTCGGAGTGTTGCTGCATCGTACATAACCATGAGGCTTCGTCCCGTGCTTGCTCCATAAAATAAGCCCTGGAAGGAAGAAACAAAGATCCTTATTTATGAGTTCAAAAGTTTTCATCCATGCCCGTTTCGATCTGGACGAGCATTCATATTGGTGTGCGGTTGTAGATCGCTTCCGCGTGACACAGCTTAAATGCCCCAGGCTGCCCCTTTTAGCGGTAGCTTTGCAGGGCCGACCAGCCTCAGGAGCCACGTAGGCACTAAATTGGTGGGGCGGTCAGTCCGTAACCGACAAATGATCTTGAGAAAAAGGGCCGCCTTTGCCAGGAAACGAACCCCGGTCACCGGCGTGAAAGCCGATTGCGCTGCTGACTGAGCCACGAACCCAGCCCCCAAGAAACCGGAGGAGCAGAAGCAGGTGGTAGGAAAATGCGCATGGAGTGGAGAGGGTGGAAAGGGAAAGAAAGAGATGATCAGAAGCAGGTGGTGCAGAAAAGCGTGCGGAACGAGGAGTGGGAAGGGCAGGAAAACATGGAGATCCAGAAAATTCAGCTTAAAAGCTTCTTGCCCGGGTGGGGCTAAAGAGAAAGCGCGGCACCAAAAAGAGACAATCGTGTGATGTAACCTGTTGCCATACAAAATTCTACCCTAAGGTACCACCTGAACTAAGAGCGTCACCCACCCGAGGGCCGGTTTGCTCATCTTGCGGCCGCGGCTGCGGCTGCGGCCAAGAGGGATTTTTATGTCACGTGACCAGCTCCACGGGGACAAGGAAGCGCCTAGCGTCCCTGCCGAATGGAGAAATCCGTATCGCTTCAAGCACAAAAGCCTAATTTCGCTCGCATAAACTGACTGCAGGGACTTTCAACTAGAGTCCAATTGACCGCCCCTTTATACTGTAGGAGCGGCAGGTAAAGTTATGGCCAGGGAGGGTAAACATGAGCCAAAATAAAGAGAAAACCACGCGAGATAAAAGCGGTGGCAGTATATTTATATACCTCCGCCACAGCCAGTGGCTCGCGCCTTTTACTGTGGTCGAGAGGTTAGAGCTCCGGTACTTGTCGTCGCGGCGTGAAAGTCCCCGGTTCAAATCGCGCCAGACACTCACTCATTTTTTTCCCTTGTATTTGACTCCTCTCCCACTAAGAATGTGGACAAGGCCTTATGAGCTCTATAATATCATTGGGCGGGTAGTTTTGACTCATGAGTTTGCTGTTCATGACCTCGGAAGTGCGCAGTTTGCTGTACATGACCTCTGGCTTTCTTTACCAACTTCCGCCAGGCATCCTGCATCTGCCGTGCACTCCGCGGAAAGCTAACAATATATTCTCATGCGCGTCTCTTCGTTCGCCAGGTAACTGTGCTGCTGAATTTCTCTAGAATTTGTTGGTTCCATTTTCCAACTGCTCTAATTAATTCCATTTGATGATCCAAAGTCATTTTAGTTTTTTGTGTTAGAGGAATGGTTTGCGATGTCGACGCCTGATTCATTTTTGCATTCCGTTGTGATTGTCTGCTATTCTAACTAAACTTCATCAAGTAATGTGTTAATATTACAAAACGATTGCCAGGGCAAAATGTAAAAAGTAAAAATACACCTTTTATCACATTGTATGCAAGTAAAGGTATGATCTCTTTTCTTTCAGTTTTACGACTTTCCCCTTTCTCAGTCGTTTGACTTGCTGCCTTGCCTGTAGGATTTCGCTCAATCAATGCATCTACAGCTGCTAGTCTTTTTTTTTTTCTTTTTGCTTATTTTGTGGAAGCTTTTTTTTTTAGTTGTCACAGCTGCAGTCTTTATTAGTAATATATAGACGCCTCCTGTTATTGAAAAGAGTCGTAGCAAGAGCGTTGTATATTTAAAAACACATAATATTGTAGTTGCTTGGGAAAGGATGCTTGTTTCGGCTCCGTTTGTGTGGAAGTCATACCGATGTTGTTATCTTGGTTTTCTTTTAGTGAGCATAATGAAACGATTGTATTAGCGCGCAAGCGGATGATACGCAAAAAGGATCACAGAAAAAAAGTTAGACATGCGCAAAATAAAAAAAGAGAAGTTCCTAGGGGGATTGGAACCCGGGACTTTCACGCCGGGACCACAAGTACCGGCGCTCTAACCCCTGGACTACAGCAAAAGGCGCGAGCTATCGGCGCTGGCGGAGGTATATAAATATACTGCCACCGCTTTTATCTCGCCTGATTTTTTCTTTATTTTGGCTCACATTTACCCTCCCTGACCGTAGCTTTACCTGCCGCTCCTACAGTGTGAAGGGGCGGTCAAATGGACTCCAGTTGAAAGTCCCTGCAGTCAATTTCTTAGAGCGAAATTAGGCTTTTGTACTTGAAGGGATACGGATTTCTGCGCCATTCGGCAGGGACGCTAGGTACTTCCTTGTCCCCATGGAGCTGGTCACGTGACATAAAAATCCCTCTTGGCCGCAGCCGCAGCCGCGGCCGCAAGATGAGCTAACCGGCCCAGGCAGTGAAATACTAAAGCGGAATCACGTTGCTTGCACATCATACAAAAGACAGCCTGCATACAGATTCCAACGCAAGTCACTGCGATATCCGTGTTTCGAATACCGCGTAGCAATGTGTTGAAGGAGGATCTTCTCACGCGGAATCCGAACCACGGTTATTGCGATGAATTGTGTTTGCAGACTGTCTTTTGTGTGATGCATGAACAGTCTGACCCCGGCTTCATTGTCATCCTGGCCAAGGCACTACCCGAAAGCAACCCCCCCCCCTATAAAGCTACAGCATTTAGACGCGTTTTTTAGAATGCCAAAACATGCATTGATATTTTTAGTCCCCAGGTTTGACTGGCAGTCGTACAAATACATAGACTAGGGTGACATTATAGGGGGGGGGGGGGGGGGGGGGGGCGGAACTAAGAACGCTGGTTTGTTTACAAAATCGAATATTTCAAGCAGCATAAGCGCTGACCGGCTACTTTGCAAAAAAAGAAAAAAAAAAAGGTAAGGTTAGGGACTAGGCGGAATAAAAGAGAGTAATGGAACGAAAAGAAATTTAGTGTGAATCTAAAGAACAAATGGACGGTATATTTTAGGCTAAAATACTTTAAACGAGCGAGTGAGGGTGCAAGGTAAGTAAACTCGTATTCACTTCAAAATCCGCAGTAAAAAAAGTCCGGCTTCTTGCGGAGCGTCACTAATTTACCCCTTTTATGTGTTGAATCAAGATATATGTAAGTTCATCTCAGGTGAGTTTCATTTCATTTATTCAATACTCACACATTTAAAACACCAAAAGCGTCGCTTCTTTTTTCAGCGACTGAATCTTGCAATAACTAGTTCATTCAGCGCATAAATGATGCGTAAAACCTTTTTTTTTTTTATGTGACAAAGAGTGTTGTGGTTTTATCACCTTATACCCTTTCTCAGAAGTTTCCCAAGGGCGATTAGTGTAAGGCACTTTGATCCACTCATTTGTCAAATCCCCGTGCCTACCTTCATTTTCTTCTTTTGAGAGTTTTACGTTTCGTAGTTATAGGGCGAGCAACTGTTTCAAAATTCGTTTTCGGTGCATCGGAAAGAAAAAACAAAGTGGTGCACACCGATAGGCCGATCTCACCAGCCAGTTTCATTGGCTCATCGCTGCCGGCATTCACCGTGGTAACTGTAGTCTTTCCGCATGCGCGACAACCCCGTTGTATGCTGGGCGACCAGAGCACAGGACGACACGAGGTGTCTCGTTCACTAACATCTACATCCTGTGAACAACAGTTATGGCAGCGTCACACGTAAGAGAAACGGTTCGTGAGATCGGTATATTCAAGGGCAACACAGAGAACCCGTAGGGAACGCCCGACGACGAAGCAACCGAGCTCGCACCGTCAGTGGTTCAGGTCGATGGCAGACTCGAACACATTACTCGAAAAAAGTATTTGATTGCAAGTAATTTGATTACCTGCAACGAGCACTCGTACAAGTCTGGTAAAGGGCAAAGAAACGCACGTGAACGCGTTTGAGAGGTAAACAAACGCACGAGGTGCGGAAGACTGGCGCGTCGTATAGTCACAGACAATTGGAAAACTTGCGTGTCATATAGACACAGACAATTGAAATGCAGGGCGTGGCCTGCCGACCGATCATGTAATGCTGGAGGCTCGTCACGCCCTGCTTTTCTGAAACTGTAAGTTAGTGCAACACAAAAAGCACATGGCCGATTCTTTTTTTTTCTCTTCTCCAAACATTAAAACGAAGTCGATTATGCGCTTCTTTTTAAGTCTCAAATTGATCGTGTCACTGGTAAGTAGAACCTTACAACAATTATCTTAGACATATACTGCGATAATAAAAGTAGTCAATAAACCTCAGTACAATGCCACGTAAAAAAAAGATATGCCGTCGGGTTCCATGATTGTTCAGCCAAAACTAGTCTTGGATTTTTGCTGCCTATAGGCGTTTCACGTTATCCGGACGGCGCATCCATTTACCGCGAGGCAATTAACATCTCTCGAAACGGTTTTGCACGCTTGACATGACAAGAATGGCCGAATAAAGGTACCACCCGTACCAGAAATCTCTGTTGTGGGCAGCATCAGGTAGCGTAGCCACTTGCTGCATGGCAGAGTCAACTCTCGGTTTTTCTCAACTACATGTGGGGAGGTCACTACATGTTCACCACGCAGCGGAATCGGTGCACTAAAACAGTAGCGCTGGGGTCTACTATTTGCAAAAGTCGCGTCTCCATCTGATGTACGGGCACAAAAACTAAGATCGTTGTAGTTTGTGACTGGTTGAAAGTTCCTGGGCGTAAGTTCGGAAGCCCTGCCCACAAGCGTTGTCTGCCAGCTTGAATTCGCTCCGCTTTTGAGGAAATAGTACGGTCGTTTGTCCTGTTACTTCATGCAGGCATGCAGGGGCGGATGAGCAAATCTCGATTCTCGTCCCGCGCAGTTTTTACATCGCTAGCTGTTATTGGCTCTTCCCATCACTGGAAATGACGTCCGTATTTGATGTTGCAGTTGTTCATGCTGTAGATGGCGTAGTGGGGCTTAGGGTGTCTGCCATCGAGGTTGAAAAATCCTTGAAAAATATCTGCCGCCGCCCGCCCGCGAAAATTGAACCTGGTACCGCTGCGTGCGAAGCAGATGCATTACCACGGAGCTACGCCACACAGTTCGCAACCCAGTTTGTACTTAGACTTTTTATGAAAGCTTTTTTAGTATCCAACGCCCACTGCAAGCACACTCTGAAAAAAAAAGTGGCTGATAACAAAATAAGCATTCATAGTAAGCGAATTGCATGCACTGTATCATAGACGGTTATATCGGCGAGGATCGCATTGAGCACGGTGATGATCCATTGCTATCTTGGCGTGACTGGTTCAGAAGAGCCCTTCCGTAGCTTCAAAGATTTTAATGGACCTAAATGGTGATTGCCAAGGCAACTGAGGCCGATCAGACGAACACCTAGCGAAGTATGGTAGTATCTGCTTGGGTCGGGCTAACGTGGAAGGAAGACAATGACCCTATTTTCCCAGGATCCAGTGAACGCTGTTCGTTTTTCTCCAACTTTGTTTTGCGACTTCTATTTCGTGGACCATAAAAACCTAACGCGTGTTTCATAGGTTATGACTATCAAGGAATAATGCTAGCGGCATGTACTAAAATACGAAAAATGTTATATCGTCATTTTAAATGGAGCAGATACCTCAAGTGAACCAGCTGAACAAGGGCAGTTTCACTCGAGCAGACCATACATAGCGTACCACTTTTATGGTGTTGTCCGAAGCATTTTCATGTCATCTTCCGTTAACTACCCCAAAGAGTAGCTAATGCCACCACGACCTTGCATCTTAACATGAGAGAGAGGCTAGCAGTAACTTAGTTAGGGGAGCGGTCAACGTTAAATTGGTCAAGCCAAGTGCGACGCCGCAGGAAGAACTAACGCTTGAGCTATTACCCAGGCAGTACACTTTTCTTTGCCAAAATCTGGTTTTGTTTTTGTTTCTGAATAGATCGATGTCACCAAGCGTTCGACGAGTAAGTTCCGACGCCGACACTTCAGTGAACGGGAGGCAGGTGGCAGCGCACGAGAGGGCTCGTACACTGCACGCCCAGGGCTATAGCGAGGTTGTTACATGCGCGGAAAGACTAATGTTCCCTTCATGCATTGCGACAGCAGTTGCGTAGCCAAACTGACTGATGGGATTGGTCCGTTTAGGTTAACCCCAGAAGCCAAGGTAGAGCCAAACTTGACCTTCTTCGGTCAGAGGCTGGATATCTTGGCCCTAAATACCGAAACAAGTGCCATAGTTAGGCTTCACTGCTAGGAGCTTGGCACCATATGGCATATAGTGGCCTAAATTGCCAAGCAAAAGAGGGAATTAGACTTCACTGTTGGTTCTTAGGTTCATATGTGTCATCGTGAGCTCAAGTCTGGCACTTCGGTAATCTTGTGGCGAGCCAGTGAAAATCCATAGAAACAGCAGATGAAAAGTACTGCGGCTTTAACGCCCTAGGGCAAACCCGTATTTGGCCTAATCTAGACCCTAGGAATGCCAAGCTTGTGTTAATTGTTAGGCGTTTCCCTCGCCTGCTACCTGAGTAGCTTCTCACATTTAGCTCTTTATAATTATACCACAGCTGTATTCGCACGTCGTTAAACAGCAACTTCATGAACAACCGCAGATGTCTCCATTACTTTACGACGTGAAGTAGTGTTGGTAACGACCGAGCTAAAAGGCAAAGAACTGGTTGCGAAAAGCCGGAATTGCAAAGATTGATGTTCCTAGATGCACGCTGTCATGCTAAAAAAACTTTGATTGCAACGGTACCTCACGAAAACAAGTGGCATAATTTGCTCGCGAAATGGTATATATATACAGGGTGTGTTCTTTTAAGCTTTACAGATTTGTTTAAAAAAGCCTTGAAAGTTACACTTAGGCTGTTTGTGCAGGTGAGTTATACGGCCAAGGTGACATTATGTGGGTGGCTAATCTTTACGATAAGTCGGCTAGTTAATTAAATTTTGGTAATTAACTTTTTTAATTAGTGAAAATTGACGTAAGTTTCTATTTACAAACTTACTGAGCATCATCGAATACCACTAAATTAGCTCTTTTTAGAACGAATTGAAGGTCGTGGGAAACTCGGAGGCGCGCCAGAGTTACCACTCGTGAAGCAGGCGCAAAGTTAGCAGTTTCCCACGGACTTCAAGTTGTTTTAAAAAGAGTTTATTTCGTTATTTTCGATGACGCTAAGTAAGTTTCTAATTCGAACCATATGTCTGTTTTCACTAATTAAAACAGTTAAGTAACGAACTTTATTAATTAGCCTACTTATTGCAAAAATTATCCACCCACATAATGCCCCCCCTGGCTGTTTAACTTACCTGCACAAACAGCATGAGTGTAACTTTCACGGCTTCTTTTGAACAAATCTGTAAAGCTTAAAAAAACACCATATTTTGTAGGTTCATGCGTCACCTTGTCACCTAGTATACGTCTTTGAATACAATGTGGAACTTCAAGCGACGTGAAGTTTTTCGTTGTCGTTTTCACTAAAGATGTATAATAAAAGTCCTAATTTGTACTTTTTTGAAGTACTGAGATATTTAAAGCACGAACTCTGTGGTTGTCCAGTTGGTAAAACGTATAACAAAGCACAGGAGGAGAAATAACTGAAGAACGCAATTTCGGTAAAGATAATTGTACTTTGGCATGCGTATTGGTTGTCATTAGTTGAAATTTATGTATTAACGAACGTTTGTCTACTTTATTATTATTTTGGGAGCGCACAGATTTACCACTTCTTATTATTGTATTACTATCTCATGAACAATATGGAACCAACAACATATAATGAAATACTTGCATTGTCACGTAGAATGTGGCGTCTGGACAGCCCAGCTTAAATCTGTTCGAGGTGTAGTATCTCTTAAATCTATTTAAGATATCCTTCTTGTCCATTTTAGAATCTTCTATGGCGTCAGATTCCTGGAAAGCAAGTAGGGGTATACTTAGGCAACCATATCTCTTAGCTGGAACTGAGCAGACATTTTACGTGTTCCACACGATAGACATTGTACAAGATGTTTATATTTAATTCCAAGCATATTTTTAAAATGTGCGGGAGTTAGACGAGTGCCGTTTTGCCATGTATTTATCAGGCTCGGCAGACGGTAGATGAAACAAAAATTATTATGCTAAATTGACTAAACAACTAAGATCTGGTATTCAACTTTTTAATTACTGGTTTTAGGGGTCATGTTGAAATTCAAGTTTTGCCGGAAATTACTGCCAGAGGCCAGATATAATTAAAAAAAGTTGCAAAAAGGTAATGGTTTTTTAATAAATATTAATTGATTCCCGCGTTCTTTCGTTCGAATTAAAATTGCGCGCAAAAAGAGCACATCAACCACTGCCTACAATGTCGATTGGAAGACTGACGAAGTCTTTTGGTCGCGTCGTCACTTGTGTCATTGGCGCACCCACCAAGGACACGCTGCCGACATAGTGACGACATAATTAAAAGAGCGAAGTCGCTCTTCCAAGCGTCATTTCACGCGGGGCTTGCGACGCTCTTTTTGCGGGCACTTTGTATATCGGGCGAAGAAACCCCCAAAAATTGATCAATTAATACCTAATAAAACATTAAATTTGCCAAATTCTTAACATTGGTCTGGTGTCTAATTCTAAGTGCCGTCAATAGTACAAGAACTACGGAGCTCTAGAATTAATAAATAAAACGTATTAAAGTTATTTTAGTTAGTTACTCAGCTTGCTGTCACGATCATATCCTTCCCTAATAATGACCGCCGTGCCTGACAAAGACATAGTGAGAATAGAACACATCTAACTATCACCCCTTTAAAAAGTGGCTTGAGTTAAGATAATTTACCTTGTAATAATCAATAAACTAGACAATTAGAACAGACAAATATTATTAAAAGTTTACAGAAGGTATCACACCGCCACCGAACGACTGATTATGTTTGTGCACTTGTAGGAAGCTAAGGTCTCCGCAGAACGACGACCGTTACTTTGAATTTTCGACGTCACCTTTAAAGTTAGGGCGTTGTCCATTAGTGTTAGCTGTCTAGTTCTCAGCACTATACATTTCGGCCCCTATCTGGTTTGTAGAAAATATACTAATTTTAAACACTTTCATCTAGCCGATCGTGTTTATTTTTGAACAATATATCTTGCAGGAGCATTTAAAATACGAGACCGATATTTATAACAAGGGTTTCACGCCTATTTCTTGTTTTGAAAAAAAAAGGTTTATGTGGTAGCAGAACATGTCCACATAACGGAACGGGACTCACTTTTGTAATATGCGTCTATGTTTCCGTTAACAATATTTCGTCTGAGAGGAGGTGCAAGAAAGATTTCCACACTTGGCCGTAAACGCAATTTTGAGAGCTTGAGGAATAACGAATACAACCCTCTACAACATAACTATTTCTGAGTATAAAGCACGCCAACTGGTCTACTTGACGTAGATAAAGCTTTTTTTTTTTTTCTTTTTTTAGTTTAAGTTTATACTATAAGACATCTTATAGTTAAGTTTTTGAGATGATAATTCTTGTACAGAGTATTTAATTTTTTGTTTATTTCTAACAAAAGGTTGGCGCTCAATTATTTTAAGTGATTTTGCATGGCGCCTGGGAGTTTCAAACCATCAAACAAAGTTTGAAATTTGTGTACATTTTGGACTGTTTTCGCCAGATCGATGCGGGAAGGGCGGGGGCAAAACAATAGCAGCTTATGTCATAAAAAAGAAAAAAAGGAACGAAGAGAAAAGTGAAGTAGCGGCATTGAACCAGAGTTGCGCCGCCGCACAAGTGATGACTTTGCTGTACGTAACACCACTGCACATCGAGTCTTCTCTATACCAGCCATCGGAAGGCTGAAATCAACCAGCGCCATGTTGTTGGGTGATTTAAAAGAAAATTGAAGAGCAAAGAAATGGCCGATATTTTAAAATCACTTAATATCTTACGTTATCGCCTAACCTAAAGTTAAGGAAATAAAAGAATATATATCGTAGCATAGAAATAAACAAAAGGTTTGGGCACAAAATTATCATAGATTATGATAACTTCGATGCTCACTCGCCTTTACGTACACCGCCGGGGTGGTCATGTTTGATAGTAAATAACTTAAGTAGTAACAGAGAATAGACTAAATGAGAATAAAGTAAAAAAATACTGGAGTACGCAAAAGCCATGCGTAAGCAAAAAAAAAACGTCTCGAGGTACCTTTAAGCTCTTCTTATGAGTTGTGAATGCGAAAGCATGAATGTAGTTCTTGCGCGAGTGCTCGTAAAGTAGCTTGCGCGTGAATCGGCTGGCGCACCGTGTCACCGCTCTGAAGTCTGCCCGAGCGCGCCTGCCGATTCCTTTTACCGGAGCACTGGCGGAGCTAGGCGGAGCTACAGCCTCTTTATGTCTCAAAAATAGCGCAAGGTGCCCCGATCCAGGAGGCACGTGCGACGTGCAGCCATCGGGAAGGTCATGGCGGCACAGCGCAGCACTTAGCTACATATCAGACGCCGTGTTTTTCCCAAAAGTGGCGGGCGGCGCGTGTCTTGAGCATTTCCACGACAATGAATGGCGCCACTTCCCCAAGGATATAGGGGCTTTAGGAGGAGCTAGAGTTCCTCTATAGGCTCCCTACGGGAGCCAGAGTTGCGCGTCTGTTTTTCACGTGCCGCCGCGCCGCTATTCGCCGAGATCCGATCACGTGATGAGCCGGATCAGGTGCCGTGCAGGAAAGTAGACGTTGCACGCGCCCCGCCGAACGTTCCCCTCCTGTTGAGCGCGCCGCGCGCCTCGAACGCGCGGCGCTGCTATTCGCCGAACTCAGTCACGTGAGGAGCTGGATCAACATGCTATGCAGGAAAGACGGCGCTACGGCGAGGAACGCGCAAGTCTGGCTCTCGTAGGAAGCCTATTCAGGAACTCTACACTGTTAGCAAGTCCCGTGTATTTGGCGAATATTTGGGGTGAAAAACACGCTATTTACACAAATTACCATACATTTACACGATGAGTAACGGATAATTCGTTCAGAAATCATGCGAGGTTGTAAAAAACGTGTTTTGGTTCGGTCATACACGCATCACCGTGTAGCCGACCTCGATAACACGCATCGCCCCCGGCGACGACCGTGGCACTGCCGGCTATCGAAGCACCGGCATGCTTGGGGACACACTTAGAAAGGACCGTCGAGACAAATGCCGCGGGAAGAAACAGGTCTCGGAGACAGATATGCACCAAAAGCAATTGCGCCATGTCGCAGGACGTTGGTGACGTTGGCGAAACCTGCGCTTACCGTGCTCGCCGCCATCTTCTGGTCGATGGCAATGCGGCTTCCCTCATGTCGCCCATGTTTGTATTTAGTTTAGGGGTCCTGATAACAGTTTCTTAGACACCACAAATAAAGTCATGGGTCTAATTATTCGTTCCAAACAGTTAAAATGTATATAAAAAGTGTGTCTTCGATGTGAACACGTGACATTGCAGTTGGTTTCGTTTTTGATTCAACCTTCAACTCAACTACCTCGTTGCTTCAACTGCAAGCGATCTGGCCACGGCGCAAACGCAACGCCGATGTACGCTGGAAGCAAGCGCCGGTTGGCTTTCGTTGTTTTTGTTTGACCGGAGAAAATCTGGCAAGTACGCATGGCGCCGCTACTGTTTTGGTTTGACGGGACGCGAGAAGCTTCGCATAGAGCTTCGGAGTTTGCGAGCACATAGTGAAGACGTGACCGGAGAAGTGCCCCTGTGATGTTCCTGAAAGACGGAAAGTAGCATTCGTAATCGTCGTGTGTGCTTTAAAAGCGAAGGGAGTCACAGGGTCCACGAGTTCGCAACCACAAGCCAAGGTTCACGACAGCGCGGCGTTGACTTCGGCGATCTCGTTCTGTTTGGTGCAACCCGGCGATGCGAAAAAGAGCTGAAACATTCGTCGTGTGTGGTGCGGTGCTTTGTATTCCGGGTTTGTTTGAACCACGCTTTTAACACGGAGCGCAAATTGTTTGTTGCGTGGTGGAGGTTCAACGGGTACAGTCCCGTCGTCGTCAGCTGATCCGGTCCAGCTGGTCCGGGAGGACGCAGCGAGCGTTTTTAAAAGTAAATCTTCCTTCGTTCCGTTTCAAACTGTGGAAGTATTCCGACACATACCGTGAGTAAGAAGCAGCGGGCGTTTTCAACAAAATTACGTTGTTTTAATTGAATAATGGACTCCGGATTGTTGTCTTAAATCTGCCGTTTCTATGCTTCGTGTTGGACTGCGTTTGCATAGCGACGCACACCGCTCGAGTAGATGATTCGGTCCTGCAACGAGTTTGTTGCGCCAATCATGCGGCGTCAATAAATTAGAACAAGGTTTCCTACCTGCCCACAGATGCATGTACTGAGACCATTTTTTATGTTGTGAACGTAATGCTCTTTCTTTATTTTGGAAGACGCGTTGGTGCATTTATTATGGTACAATCACTTGAGAGTTGAGAAATTGGAGAGCGAGCAAGCTTTCTCAACTTTGTCTCTTTCTCTGTGGCACTGCTCAGATTCAGTTTCAGTAGGCATATCTACTAGCAGGTACAAACTGCTCTAAAGCAAGTAAAAAACGGGAAGCTTAGGACGGTGCGGACTCCGTGTTTCGCGCTTTTCGCAAGGTGACAGAGTAAATGCTTTTGTGAGATATGCGGAATATGCAAGCGATTTTGTTATGCCCGTCGTTTGCGTCTCTCCAGCAAAACGAATAACATGATCTACTACAAAGGCGCAATCACCAGCCAAGATTTAAGATAGCAGTCGTTTGCTTCGGTGATCCGTGTAGCTGTATTTTACCCTGCTGTCTGCAACACCGTGTCATGACGATGAGCTGGAACGGTCATGGTTTGTGCTGGCCTCCCGGTTGACAGAAACCCGCGTCGCCCGCATCGGCACCGAGTCCGATTGGGCTGTTGATGCTCAAGCCTTTCATCT